CAATGTGAAACGCAGTTCACAAGCCACAATTTTTTTTTCTTCTGCGGTGGCCGTTGCTGGTAGGTCACGTGTAAATATGAGCAAAACCGCCAATTCGCGCAGTGACAGCACACGTGCTTCATGCACTTGACCAGCATCATGCTACATATCAGGCACATATTGAGAGGGATCATCAGGGGGTTTCCCTGGACTCCGTCTAACAGGGCTTGGCATCAGACACGCTCTTCACACCCTTGACACGCGAGTTTCAGAGAAACAGCGCGCAGGGCAACGCAGGACGTGACACACGGAGGTGGGTAATGTAACGCGTATTGCATTTAGCAGCGCGCCAAACCGCTTCTTGGCGGTAGTAACCGCCGATCCTGTCCGGACAACGAGGATAAACACTCGTTTCCTGTGGCATGCTATGTGATAGTCTGAGCCTTTCAGCTCGCAGGCGCATAAGCTGAAGCCGTGCGCCAGCAGCACCGCCTCCGCCTGCGCCCACGCCTTGGAGCACAGCATGGCCACCACATTCTCCAGCACGCAGCAGCGCAGCTTCGCCCTCACAATCAGCTGTGCTGCGTGCACCGTCACTTGGGCTGCCTCTCCCTCGGCACCCAACCCGTTTGCGTAATCTGTACACGTGGGGGGACATCGTGGTCAAGTCAGGATCCAGTTCCACCAGTGCCTTGGTGACTGAATCATACTCGCATTCATCACACTCGCATTCATCACTCTCACATTACCAGGGTGAAGTTCATGGTAGGCCTCACACACGCGGGGACACTTGTCACCGGCAAGTCTAGTGTCCACCGCAAGGCCCGCCAAACTTGCCCGTCTCAAACCCTCGTCCTAGCCACCGATGTCGCAGCATACGGATGCATGCGTCACGCGCCGTGCTGCCTCTGGCCCAGCGCTGCCAACAGGCGCGCAAAGGTCCGGAGCCTGTGCCGCAGTAACAGCGCCAACAGCAGAATCTCGTGTCAGGCGACGTGGCCGCGAACGATTATCAGACTGTCATACTATCATACTATCATACAACTGTGTCTGGTGTCTCTCTGAACTCATCGCAACTCGGTGCTCATTGCATCGCTCAGCTCAATGTCGCCGCCTACTAGCGTGCCAATCTAGTGGCAGTGCTCAGTGGCGACGGCGCAAGCATGGTACACAACAACTGCTCATCGCACGCATGCCTCCGCGCGACGGGGCTCGGCGTAATGGCTAAAGCAACTCGCACGCACTCGCTCGCCAGCACAAAGCTCAGCTCAGCCTCGGCGCTCGCACGACTGGTGCATCGCTCAAGCCTCGAGGGGCCATGGCGGACACTGACTTCATCTGTTTTCTCGACGCGGCGACCCTAGCCGCGCCACCTCCCTTCCTCTTCTTTTGGGAGTCAGTGACTGCATGGGCACAGGAGGCCCTTCAACATCGAAGTGATCGTGTGAATCGCTGTGCTCTGGTGTCCATGCATATGCCAGCATGGAACAGCACCCTCTGACAACCAGCACCTTCACGGAGTGCTGATCTGCCTCTCACGTGACCGTCAAGGTCCTGCCCCGATGGGTTTCCGAGCCACCGTCGAGCAGCCCCGGTCACGTTTGCATTTCATTGTATTGGCAAACATTATGTTGTTGCACAAAGCAATATGCAATCTCTGTTTAACGTCAATTGTTAGTGCTGCTGTCTAGCCGTGTGGTTCTCTCATCTCTTCTCTCATCTCTCTCTTTCTCTCTTCGTGCATCACGACATGCTCTCCTGCATTCATCCTGCACACAATTCTCTGCCGCTCTGGACCGTGGCAGCACGAGCAGATGCCGACATCATCTTGCAAGACGACATGCTGCAGCACGTCGATTACACCACTTAAGGTGCTGAGAAACAAAGTGGGGGGGCATTATCTGTCGCCACGCAAACCCTGCTCGTGCCAAGAAGTATTGGCACTCAGACTCATCATCTCTTTAGCACAGCACTAACGATGGACGCCACGCGCAGCGGCGCGGGTGTGTGAACCGCAGCTGCACATGGACGCGGACACCCGAGCGAGGGCGTGCTCTCGCAGCTAGGGCACAGCTGCAAAGTGTCTGACCGGCGCAATGGCTGGTTGCGGGGCCAGAGAAATCGTGCACGACGGAGTATGTCCCGTTCGCTACAGATCCTCCGCGTATCCTCTCTCTCTCTCTCGCTCTCTCTTCTCTCGCTTAGTTAGAACGAATGGCAACGCAACGCTAGCGCGTCCGCATCACGCGCGTGCCTACTTGTGGACGAACGAATAACTGACGCGAAATAAATTGGAGTGAGGGCAACTAGAGTGATGATGCGAGGTGCGCGTAGTGTGTATAGGCGAGGATAGTACAAGGGAATGATCTTCGACGTCGGGCGTCATGCTATGAAACCCTAATCCAAGCAGAACAAGCTATGGTGAATGCGGCGATGGTGTTGGGTGTGTAGGTCAGTAGGTCATAACCTACGGTCAATCAAGCAGGGCATTGATGTAGGTCATGCATCACCAGCGCAAAATCAGCAGGCACTGCATGCAACACCCAGGACATTGCAGTCAAGCACCGGCAAGGCAGCATTGAGGTTTGTGGTGAAGGATACGGGCAATTTGAGAGCGTATGGCACAGCATGCTGCAGTGAGCAGGCCACGGCAGCACAATGCAAAGCATCAAAAGGCACACATTCATGTATGCATGCAAAATGGTGGGGCAGAGACTGAGCCATCTGTTGCACTGCATTGGTACTGTCCAGCGCTGTCACATGCCCTGCGTAACCTTCTTGTCCACCAGCTGAGCCAGGAAGGCGATACATATTTGCCATGGGCAAATGTAAGCATATGCATACTATGCAGTAGCTATTCCAAATATGTGAGCTCGGACAGTTCAGGGGGACATGGTTCAGGGACCATGTGATTCTGAACGCTGAAGGCTGGTGGCATAACAGCACTCGATGTGCGCTGTCCGTAAGCTTTGTATGGACCTGTGCATTCGCTACAGATGAAATTTGCAGGACGAACGAAAGGAGCATTCTTGTGCATAGCTTGCTGACACTCGCCATAGATCTCCTGTGGCCAAGCTCCATGACACACGTGGCAAGACTTGACTTCGTAGGAATACAAACGGTCATAGTCATGTGTCATGTCATAGAAATCCTTTGCCAACCCTAGAACATGAGGACTCTCGAGCAAATCTTCAGGTAATTGCAGCCCATGGGATGCATCCGGTGATCCTCCTGTAGCTAGATGCCCGTGTAGCAACTGCACATGCGCAATTTGAGGGTCCGCACGTGATAAATCACCAGGACTGTATGTGTCCTCGGGTGAGGCATTCACCGATGAAATTATGTTTTGCGCGTTCAACCAACTTGGTCCAAAATGTGTTGTTCAGTCTACGAGTGGACACCCTCTGCAACAAGTCGCTGCTCATGCTGCTGTGGTGTCTCTCGCGCACGAGCATCAGACTGCCTAGCACGACGCACAGCGAGACGTTGCTCACGTGCCACTGGCTCGGGTGTTTCTCGCACAGACCGCCTAGACCGCCTAGCACTGTCAACAGCAGACCCGGTCCGTTGCTCACGTTGCGCTGTTGTCTCTCGCATAGACCGCCTAGCACGGTCAACAGCAAGCCCGTTGCTCACGCTGCTCTATCGCGGTGGACACGACTAGCCACTCTTAGCACCTCTTCGCTTGCGACCTTGCTGCTCTGATGCGACGGCCGATTGAGTGCTACTGCTGCACGCTGCGGCTGCTGTTACTGCTGCTGCCACCGTCGCCGATGCTGCGCCTCGCCTCGCTCCTTCTTCTTTCTCCGACACTGCGCCCTCGCTCGCGTCGACGTCCTTGCCTCAAGTGTTTCGTTTCAAAGTTCAAGTTTTGCGCACAGCAGAACAGACTTGAACTTTAAACACCATGCCTTCCCCGCGCACGAAGTAGAAGGCGTGCGCACGGCGCGCGCTCGCTTGCGCTCGCTCGCGGACCGTTGACGCCCGCCGATAAATGAAGACGAATGCCCACACGACCACGCGATTCGCGTGTGCCGTGCGTGCACTATGCATGTAGGTGCGTCTCGGGTCCGCTCGCGAAGCGAGGTTGGGTAAGACTGCTTGGTTTGCCATTGTGACGTGTGGTGGTTATAGTTGAGACTGTGCTTACTTGGGGGAGCCATTTGGTCTGTTTGGCTAGTATCAGGGCCAGCTTCCGTGCTTGTCTCTCAGTCTCCAAGGTTCCCAGTACTGCTGTGATCAGAACAACTGAACTTCTCCAGGCCCCAACTTCAAACCCCTATGGGAGGTCTTGAACTTGTTCGTTTTGGAACCTCAAGCCATGTCTAACCTCTGCTTTCTGAACTCTTAAGTATGACCGGATACCAGAAACTGCTCATCATATACTACGAAGTGATTCATTTGTGCAGGATACATATATCAAACCGTGTCAGGAGGCGATGTTTTGGCCTGACAAAAAAAGTTTTTGGGGAACCAAAAGTGGCAAGTTCAGCTTGGTCTTCAAGGAGTCCGTTATTAAGGGACACGTCGCCTACGGCCCACCGGAGCCTCACTTACGCTGTTTGGGAGACTGGCGAGAACAAGCAGCCAAGGCGACGGGGATCAAGTAGAATAAACACCCACCCACCACTCCCTATGATTTTTGGGTCAAGGGTAGGGGGAGGAGGGTTGTGAGAGAGGAGAAAAGGGGGGGGCCTTTGGGGAAATGGCGGGCCAAACTTGGCCCTTCAGGTCGGATTCCACATTAAGGGGTTAGGAACAGGTCTTCCCCCTCCACCAAAAATGCCATTGCACCTTTGACCAATCACAGTCAGTGTGTCACGTGTCTACATTGTTGTGTGTTGTATGGATGATGTTATATGCTGGGGAGAACTCTAACATGTTCAGCACACCCCTGTTACATACATAATGGTATGTTGCAGGTATGTATGTACGTCTTCACAACTTGCCACTTGACCAGGACACAAAAAAGCAGCCCCAGCTGGTCATGACCACAAAATATTAGTGCAAGAAAAACTAAACGATCTCTGCAGGACTCGAACCTGCAACCTTCTCGTTCGAAGCGAGACGCGCTGTCCATTGCGCCAAGAGACCATTACGTTCTTCTGTTCGTGTTCTGATATTGTGGCCGACCCTGCGGCCATTTGCGGGCTTGGGGAAGGTTGAAACTCGATACAATAGGCTTTCGAGAAAGCTTTCTAGAGCGGCTCAAGCATTGCGGAAAGCAGGGCGCCGTGGCAACACAGATCCAGGACAGGTAACAGCATGATGGTATGCATATTCAACCACTGCAACAACTCGCCGCGATTTTTGCATGCCTACGCAATGTCAACATTGAATCAGATGTTGTTTTTTTGTAATTCTGTGGGGCGGCCAAACGCCCCTGAGTTGAGTGAGTTGAACACTCTGGCACGTCAAGCATTACTTCACAAAAACAGATACCAAAATTGTACACAATTAGTCTGGCAGACATATGAGAGCAAGATTCAAAATAGACCTTCACCTACTAGTAGCCACTAGTCTAAGACTAAGTACAAGTGTTATTTATATTATAATAGTATGTTGAGAGTCACGTGGGCGTTTGTGGGCGTTTGGCATGCCTCACGTGAGCGTTTGGCGTGAGTCCCAACTTATATTACTTGTTCGCGAAGGTCCATTTCATGCCATTGCAACATTACACAGGTGGACAGGCGGGGGTGTCAGTGATGTAGTTCTGTGATGTCAGGGCATCATGAGATGTTACATGGGAGTCACATGATGAGTATGGGGGGAATATTGTGACATCACAGCAATGCTCTGTATGCGGATTCGACCGCTGAGAAGTGCAAAGCGTTCAGCCCGCAATGCTCATGCATGCTGCTCAATGAATTTTGTCAAAGATGTCCATCCCAGCTGCCAAGATGTTACTTGCCTGTTCTGCGTTAATGTCCTGATCACATGGTCTTCACATGATGCTGCCATGATCTAAGTGCTGGCACCGTAGCAACATCACATGATACCCTGCCTGCGCATCTTGAGTACGGCAGCAGTGCCACATGACAAGATGTGCCCATGCCCAGTGCAGACACATCATGGCACTTCATGAGATACTGATACGCACTACACCACACGTGATGCATGCAGTGCTCCATTGTCTTGATGTAAATGGCGTGCACGCAAGCACTTGACATCACATATCTGGCAACGCACCCCACGCCACCCATCATGCGATGCCCAGTGCCCGTTGCCACATGATATGAACCTCTCAGTGTCAATACGTTAGTGTCAATGATGTGTCAGCATGTGCTTGACGTTGTATGACAGGCAAAATGTGTCTCACACTACCTGTCTATGCCCAGCCACTCAGCTACTTGAAGAACTTCCATCAGCCAGCATGAGTGGTGCACATGTGCAGGTCCACAACGACAAAAGCAATACTGACTCAGAGAAGCTCAAATACTCGAGACATTTGCTGAAAGTCCTCATTCATAGTGTGCGGCACAACCCTCCAAGCTGGCATGAGCGCCACACATGTTACTAATGAGGCGCGCTCCTGTGGTGACGCTTGTTCTAGCTCCTGGACACTGCTGACGCCACCATGGGCACGCCTGCACGCAGCAAGAGCGTACAGAATGTAGAGCAGGGCTTAATCAGAGTAGTCGGCAGAAGTGACTCGAACGCTGCGGCTGGTGTGAAGCCATGCTGTAGGTAGTGGGTCAGTCATGGTAGGTATGATGAAATGCGCATGCTGATGGGCAAGTAGGTAGTGAGGCAGGTATGGCTGACACGATAGGTATTTGAAAGGCCACAAGCTGTGTAGGTATACTATTATGGGTCTAGAACTTGACATATGCATACGGTGGGTGCGCTGGCCGTGCCACAGCACGGGAGGGGCACACAGCTAGTTCGACACCAAATACGTAGTTGGTGTGCCTGACGCGCTCGTGCGCACATATTTATGTAATGTATAATGAGGTGTAGAGGGGCGCTCCCATTGAGGCTGCGGGTGGTAGCGCTTGTACGCCTCATCGGGCTGCAGTAGACGCTCGGTGCGTATACATACCTTGAAGTACATGCCGTGTACCGTGACGTTTACAATATAAGAGCGCTCGATATGAAAGCAGTCACAGGATGAGAGCGGTGTGTCGGCTGGACACGGATCTGGCTAATATAAGAGCAGTTTGGTGCTGCTCGGGGCTGACCACTCTTATATCGTGCCCACCTACCGCTCGCTGCTTCACCACTGATGCTGAGCGGTGCAGTGGTGTCGTTGAGGTATTGGTGACTGCTCAAGCTAGTTGCCATTGCGTGACCCCCCGCCTTTAAAGTTTAAGGGACTGGCTGCCTTGCAGACAGGGAGAGAGTCACTTGTCGAAGTGTAAACATCAGCGCGCTTGCCTACGCGCACTGCTCATGCGCGCTTGCCTACGCGCACTGCTCATGCGCGCTGACCAACTGCGGATTCTGCAGCACCTGCACGACAAGCGATTTTCTGCCACACATTGAGAACGCTGCCCACTTGTAGTACTACATGAACGCACCAAGCACCTGGTGCCATACCTACGGGGCGGGGATCCTCAGGCATCAGTGCATGAACACGTCTCAGGCGACACGTGCTGACCTTACCTCACCACAACTGTGCTGAGCAATGGCTTTTTTGTTAAGCTGCGCGCCTCTTGAGGCTGGTGCCCTCCCTCAAAGAGGTGCGTGATGCTGCGCGGTGTACTAACCGCACCTTGCTTACGGCGTAATTCTCTGCCAACTTTGAATCCTAGCTCACTAACCCTAGTCAATACTCGAAACTCTATTGATAGTGTTATGATTTGCTAAGGGTTTCATCTAACCCTACATGAGCTCCAGCACAACAAAAGGGGCGGTCACAGTGTAAGAGCTGTGAGGCTGGCGGGACAGACCCGCTCTTATATCGTAGCCCTTGCTGTTGTCAACCAAGCGCGCGTTCACAAACACACAAACACACACACTCGCTATATATAGAGACTCACTTACGTTGAGGTCGCAATACGGGTGGTCGTGGTGTGCGCCACACTTTAAACGTACATTCCTATTTGGAATTCAAGGAAATCATATTTTGCAGTATGCAAAAAAGCACATCACGCATATTTACGGTTCAAAATATTTGTCGGCAAGGGGTACTCACGTCAAGGCCACGGCTATTTTGCGCTTGTTTGCCTCGCCGCGCGCATGCCCACCAGCGCAGCAATGCACTACTCGGGGCCCTGGCCGTAGCTGGTGATGGCGCCCGCATTGTCCTTGCTGATGATGGTGATGTTGAACTTCACGGTGAGTTGGCCAGGGGGGTCGCCAACGTCATCCTGCGAAGGGGGCCGCGGGGGGGAGAGGAGGGGGGGGAGGGGGGGAATTTAGCACCAAAGCTAAAGTAGCAGAGAAACCGTATCTGACTGGCACGTGATGTTTGCATGACCCCAACCGAGGATAGATATTGCAACCACCTTCCCTGCAGCATGCTGAGCTCATCATCAAATACCTCTAGTTAGTGAGCTTGTGCCTCTTTTGGCAACCATATTTTAAACTATGAAAAACTATGAGTGCGGCATTTTTCATGAATGAAAACGAATCAAAAGATCGTAGAGCTCTAGGTGACAAGGGATGGTTAGCCGCAAGTGCCGTCCACCAACAACCGTGGTCGCCAATGCTGCAGCAATCGACCACGAAACAAACAGTATCACCATATCTACAGTAGAACTTCGAATAAGACACATTTGGGTCATTATTATTCTGGTTAAACAGTTGTGTTGACTTTGATGTAAACAGTACAAGTTTTTTGTCCAAGGATTACCTTCTAAAAATATTTCAAAATTACCTTCTGAACGGCAATTTGACTTATTTTTGAAATAGACAACAAAGTTGGGTGCAATGCTCAGTGTCTTGAATATTCACAATTGTTTTATTAATCTCAGTTTTTAAAAAATACTTGTTTTTGGTACTTTTCTCACGTTCGTTTTTTGACGGGTTTGCAATCTTAATTTAAAAAAACGGCAAATAATTCCAAGTTCGTTAAGAAATAAAAGCATAACAAAAAGGAATTATGAGGGAATTAATTGAACAACAAAAGATATCATCAGAAGTACACGCCACCAACCTCAACCCTTTTGTCTGCGGAAAATTAGGGTTAGGCACGTAAATGCGGCCCGCTTCATGACTCCTAGAGAAAAAATTCACTTCACGCATGCAGTCATCACCCAGTGGCAAGGTTAACTGCCTTGAAGTGATTAGCTTTGGCTGCTTCTGCAAAGGATGTGGATGTGCTCAGTCTCCACTATGACGCAATTGTGTCACATCTCAGGCGTTGCGCGTGCCATCTGATTACTGCGCACAGATACACAACTTCTCGTCAACTTTTAAGGTCTGGGGGATCATTGGTATATCAACCACTTCATAACAGTATCTGAAGTGGTTGGCATGAGCGTTTTGCGCACCTTGAACCTCTGCTGCGTCTGCACAACCACACTTTTCCCCACTAGTAGCTCATGCCGCCGGGCGCCAGCTCACACGTATATGATGGCCCTCTGCACACAGGGCATACAGGTAACAGTAGCAGCTCATGGGCACAGACGATCGCACAGCGGTCGGGATGGTTGCGGAGGCCTCAGATGCACCATTATTCTTATGCTTTGTTTCAATGCTAAGCTGCGAGTACTCACAAACCATACCCTTATGTCTTGAGGTACGACTTGACGGCGTAACGTGCAGGCTGTTGTGCGAAACAATAGGTCCAACAGCACTTGCAGTACGCTGCAGTTGCACACAACAGCATTCGTGTACACCGTGCAGGCACGTTGTGCATTGAAAACCATACTTTCGAGGATGACGTCGGCAGTATGCACTTCGTGTACAGGCTAGTTCTCAGCGAAGCCGCGTACGCTAGCAGCTTGCGCCATGCAAACTGAAGCGCACCATATTTACATCAAGTCCCAGCCAAAGCACACAAACTTCACAAGCACCTGCAAGATATCGGGTAGGAAGTAGCGTTGCCGACGAGCACTGCCGTTGCCCCTATGAAGACCAGCCCGGTATCTGCGCGCAGGCCCCAGATGGCCGCGCTGAGGTTGCCGCCTGCACGATGCAGCGACGAG